CGTCCTCTCCTGTTATCCTCTCAGTTTATCATGGTTCACAGGTGATCGGTAGCAGGAGTAATGAGCACAGAATTGTAGTAGCAGAAGGCAGATAAGCACCTGGACTGAATAGGATAAAAAGAAATCCTTCGGAGGAGGAAGCATGATTTTTGTGTTTTCGATTTTGCCACAATCTTCCTGTGTCTTAGCCAGGACACTTAGCCTTTGGTGTCTATGGGTTTTAGTCTGTGAAACGGGAACTAGTGTTATTTCATAGATTTAGAATTTAATTCCTCATTGATTCTAAGAGTTATCTGCTTTACTTATCAAGGCTGTGGCTTGCAATCTGCATGTGGGGCACACTCAGCCTACAGCTTTGATTTAGCAAGCTGTGCTGAAATCAAATCTCTTATAGTTTCTATGAGTAACACCATTTACCCACAGAGAAGTTCTTAGCGTGCATATCAGAAAGAATGCGGACATTTCCAACCTGTGTAACCTCCTTTATTAAAGATACAGTTACTGCCCTTGACCTCTTGTGAAAAGTGGATCTGTTTGTGTTTTTATTCTGTGGCTTGAATAAAAGATATAACAGAATGGGCACTGTTCACTGGACGTGGGAATTCTCCCTTGCTCTGACTCATGTAGAGCAGTAGGGAGGGGGAGGAAAATGGACTCCACAAACCCAATATCCAGTTTTGTCATTTAAAAAACCTTTTTGATCTGAACTTTGTACATTTAACGTTCCAGCGAGTATTTAGAACTTTGATAAACGTACGTAGTAGTGCTAGAGAAAGATAAGGCTCACTATTGTACTAAAACAATGTTGTGGTGCCAAGACAGTATATTTATGCTTTTCTGCTGCAAGACTAACAGTGCCCATCAAACTTTATATAATTTGCTATTATACTAAGTAAAGGAAAAAATACCCAGCATTTTCTAGGTTGCCATAACAAATGCATTAAGCTTAATATGAAACTACATTGCAAACCAGGCCATTAGCACGATGTATTGCTTCACAGCAGCTGGGAATAATACAGTGTGGTGAAATTACCAATGTGGAGGCCAAGATTTTTTTGTGTACAAGAAAAAAGATACTATTTTTTTTCCCCCATTATAATCAACCATTATTTTGCCAATGTTTTCTAATGTGTCTTGCAGAGTTTCATGATAGTTTTTATTCAAAGCTGGACCATCGTGGTCAGTCAGTTTTTAGCATGCATAAAAGAAGCACCGTTGCCAAGTTTTCCTTCAAGCCTGTGAAGTCCGAGTTGCAAGGAGTAGGATAAAGCCTCAGTAAGCTTTGGGAGCTAACGGAGAATTACAAACTTTTTGTTTATTGTACCTGGCACTTTCTCAAAATCTGCTTCATAGGGGCCAAACCACTCATTTCCTCAAGCGGATAAGGAGGATGCTTTCTCTCCCCAAGTCAAGACTCTGTGACTTTGTAAGGAAGGCAGTGTAAATGTACGTTTTAAAAGTGTACTTTCTAGGGGGATTGCAGCTAGCACATTGCAAACTTTTATCTCAGACTTGAACTTCAGGACTAGTTAAACTGGTTAAGTTAAAAGACTTTGAAACCACCTGCTATCATAACAGCGATGACATGGATTGTGCCTGAATTGTCTGAAACAGGATTTTTAAGCACACTAAACAGGTATTAAATTGAAAATGAATGCAATCTCCCCCTATCCCCCCACCCATTTCAAGAATATTCTGGTGGTTTTGAGACCTGTGGCACAAACTCTGGGGAACCTACCTCTGTCGGAGGTCCATAACAGAGGAAATATAAGGAAATGTGCTTCTACCAGTTGTTTCAAGGCAATGAGTCAAGACTCTTTTATGCAAGTTTCTCAATATGTTGGGGTTTGGGTTTTGGTGTTTTTTTTTTTTTTTTTATTTCTACTGCAGATGTAATCATTTCATGGATTTTGTTTGATATATGTAGTCACAAGTGTAAGTTTGTTGGATAAGACCCAGGAGCTAACCAGACCTTAATTTTCTTGTCCATCACTTTCTAATTCTTCATTCTTAGGAAATAATCCAGCAGATTTAAATGTGGAAATAATTCTGTATAATCTCCTGCCTTAAGGCAGTTGTTCCCAGATTTGGACAGTGCAGAGCAACTGTGTTAATCTTCCATCAAGCAGATGGAAGCAATAGTCTAGAGTGGAATCCATTGATTGTTCATTGAAAGTTAGACTCTGTATTTTTCAGGAAATTCCAGCAGTTTGAATTCATATATCCACCATGCATTGAAATAAGATTTTTAATACAGTCAGGCTGTGCAATTGTTTTCATATTTGTTGTATTTTATATTGTAATTTAATACAAAAGTCAAAACACTTTAATGTATTAGACTGTAACTAAAAACAAAGCAATGAAGTTGAAATGAAGGGTTCTAACTTTACCAAAACTAAATATGTGGATTTAATGAAAAAGAAATTTTTTTAATTGTATTGCCTTAAAAAAAATTTTTAAGAAAATGCTGGTTCCACAAAAACATAGAAATTCTAATTATTGTTTCTATGTTGTCTGGGAAAATGCTTACTTGGCGATTTTTAATTTTGCTTTCTCTGTGTGACATCACGCTACACACAAGAATGCAATAATATTGATTTTAGTAGGAGCAACTCAGATAACTTTTAAGACCAAATGCAACTGACCTGAAATTTCTTGATGGAAAAATCTAACAAAAATCTTACCAGTGAATGCACTGAGACTATGGAACAGACTTCAGTCTCTGATTAGAAGTATGCTAGAAGCAAAACATCTTAAAAGTATACTGCGGGGGGGGGGGGGGGGCAGGACAGTTCTGGGCGGCTGGAAGCTTTCTGTGGGAGTGGACAAGTTTAGTAAGTCCTTTCGTCTTTCATGTCTGTGATTGAATTTTATTTACCTGAAATAAAAGCTATATTCTTCAAGGGCAATAACAACATGACTTTTGTAACTCCTTAGCTTTCAACAATAGAGTATAATATTTTGGTTCACCATTATCTTAAAACTGCAAGTGTTTTTCTGACTTCTTTGGCATAATGGTTTATTAATGTTGACATTCCAGGGTTGTTTGTCAGTAGGTCAAAAGCTTGGGTTTTGCTCCTTCTGGCAGATTACATACAAATTATGCAAATTGCTATAGTGCAGGTTATAAACTAATTATGTTATACATCTTGAACAATGATAATTTCTGTAAGGGAAAGCTGTCTAGCATTTTAATTGCTAATTTTTTTTTCTCCTTCTTGTATTCTGCAAAAGAAACCACATTAAAAAGTGATAGTATGTGTGTAGGTTTTGCTGCTGTGCAGTTTATTTGCTTGTGCTCCTAAAATATTTGAAAGCAATGTGGCAGTCAAATTGCCTATATATGGTTAGTGGCTTTTCTAATGCAGAACTGGGTTGGGTTTGGGTTTTTTTTTCCAGGGCTTTAACAGTCTGTTTATAATAATAAGCAATAAAATAACTCACAGAATTTCATAGAAGACTAGAAAAAAAATTTTTTTTGTTTTGTCCAGGTGGATCTAACCTGCAAATTCAAGATACTCTGTAATCTTACAGCTCATATTTCTATATGGCAATTTATAGTCTACTTGCAAGTTATTTTTTATACATAAAACATGCATTTTAGGAATAAGTACTTGGTTTGTACATTTTTCGCCAACATTTTTGTTAGGTTTCGCTTCAAGTGAAATTCTTGCTTTTAATTTATTCACGTGTCTCAGTTGCATTAATAAGTTCTTTTTGTGTGTCTCTATTCCAGCTTCAAATCAAGGCAGCTCCACATAGTTCCCTGCTGACCTCGAAAGTGGCGATTCTAACTGTGGAATGAGGGCAATTTCAGTCCAGAAATCATTCCTTTCTCATCAACTGGCTGAAATTGCCCAATGTCGTCTTTTTTTTCCCCCCAAAAAAAAAACCCAGTACAACTTTTGGCTTAATTCCTTTCTTTTTTTGCTATAGATATTTGTATGCCTGTATATAGATAAGGACATGCATATACGTTATATAGAGCTGGCCCGCACAAATACTGGATTAACAACGGTGATTGGACTTTTGTGTTCACACACCTTGAGACAGACATTCCATCTGTGGAGTTACGGATTGAAATGCAGATCAGGGCAATGAAGACAAAGTTCACATACTGAAGAAATGAGTCTGATTCATAGTCCACAGAATCCACAGCCCAAGGAGACCACTTCTAGCCTGACCACTGTTGGTTTCCCTATTAACTGTGTTTAGCACAGAATAAGGACCAAACTATCATAGATGAGTCAGGGTTGAGGTGTGGTGGCAGGCCAGTATTGCGAGTTGTGCTTTATTGTATCTGAGGTTTGAAGGAAGACATCTGATTTCAGAACTACCAGCACTTAATTTATACACTTGCATGCACACTTAAGGCTTATTTAAAAAAATAACCTTCATATCATCTGTGTGCCATTTATTTGCATGTCAACAGGAACTGAGAAATCTAGCTACGTTTTTGAGCTTCTTGGTTCTTGTTAGATACTACTCACTTAATTGAAGTTTTTATACTGAGTTTTACGTAACATCTCATAATGATCTAATATAAATATACACAGTGCGCATAGTTCATTTGGGTGCTTGTCCTTGTGTTGTATTGTTCACACCTTATTAGTCTTCAGCAAATGTTCCAGTTTTCTTTAGTTTTGGCAAGCTGCTCAGAACACCATTTCCTTCTTTTCATTCTGGTGGAGTCCAATTGTTCTTTGCTTATACTACGTTACCCTTTCCCAGAATTTAGCCTGGAGTTTTTATACACTGGGGAGTTTCCAGTGTGTTTAGATTATAAAATGATTTCCTAGTGTGACTGTGACGGAACCATGCTTTCAGATAATACTGTCAAACTAGATTTTGGTGCTGTTTTTCTGTGTTTCTTCACAGTATTTTGTTATACAGAAATGATGCGTACAATCACTTTGTCTCTTGAAAGTGACATTTTTCAAATCATTCTCCCAAATAGTTAGGACTGTCCCAAAACTTTTTCTTGTTCTGTTTCTCATTAGGTTTGTGTAGATCAATTGGTGTAAGCAACTTTCTTATCAGTCATCTTGAGCAACTAAAGGAAGACTGTATGATTACTCCACATGTTAATCAGGTGAGCAGATAAATATATTTAAAGTATCTGGGTTTGGGGTTTTGCTTTGGGTTTTTTGGTTAATAATCTCTTCCCCACCCCTATGCCTGAAAGACTACACCCAAACTAGCCTTAGTCATGCAATTTCTTGTCCCTCATTTCTATGGACATATTGAAAACCATTCAGGAAGTTGACCTGAAGTGACAGGGGGAAGGTCCTTCTTCCTTTTTTTCCCCCCCTAGTTTCTTCCAGGCCACTTGTTTGTGGCTGGTTTTGAGGCACAAACAAATGGCCCATGTGCCAGTTTTTGATGATAAAACAGTTTAGAAATAAAATTCAAGGAGCACTGAACATTTAGCATCTCCAGAGTGAATACTGTTTTGGAGAGCCTGTGTTCAAATACTATATATAATTCCTCTAAAAGCCTCAGGTGATTACCTATCCATGGAAGGGTGCTGTTTCCCTTGCTCCCCCCCACCCCTTATTTCATATTCGTATTTCAAGATCACATTAAATTCAGTGAACTTCTCACTTAGGATGGTGCTGTGAGAGCCCTGGCAAAATTTTTTTGCTGCCCTAGGCAGATAAAAACTGGCCACCTACATACCGGCAGACTTCCAGGACACTGACAACTATTCCCTTGTTGCAGTTTTCTGCCCGCAGCTGTGCTGGAAGTTCATGCTCCCATTCCTACCACCTCCTGCCAGTGAAAGTGTGTGTATGCTAACATAGAACTGGGAGCTGGACTGGGTGAAGTGCAGGTGTGTGCTTTTCCCCTTTCTGCAGGTGGTGAGGATTTCTGGCAGCTCTTAATGGTTTAATGTCATAAACAGCCACAAAAAGGTTATGCAGAATGTGACTGTCAGAACCTAACATCTCTGATTTCTGCTGTCCACTAGACTAAAGGTTACTAAAGGACAATTATGAGTAATGTTAAATTAATGTAAAACCATGTAAAATACTTAAATTCACTTAATCAAAATTAGCCATTGAAATAGGTCTTAAGATGGGCAGGTTGATGGCTGTTTAAGAATCAGTGAGTTTGCCAAGATATGATTGTGTCTCATTTTCAGAAATACTCATCTTCAAAGTCTTACTAGAGTTTGGCATAAGTTGTTACTGTCTGTTAAATGAGAATAGCCTTTCAGTGTCCTACTAAATCACTGCAAGGAAAAAAAAATGTAATCTTGGATTTGTTTTGAAATTTCCTCTTAACCCACAATGTCAATGTATTACCACTGTGTCAGTAGTGTTAATGGAGAAAAGTTGTTTCTTGATACTGTTTGATGGCATCTCTTTTTCTGTGGCTGAAAAAGAGGAGAGAAAAAGTTGAGAGGGTGGTGATACTGGGGGGTGGGAGGGTGCCCCTGCTGTATTCAGATAGTCATTTCTTTAAGGTGATGCACAGCATTCTTCCAAATTACAAACAACCAACAATGAAATATGCATGCCACTGCAAACTACTCCACTTTGAACGGTTTTGTTATAACATTAATTTACACTTTTTAGAGTTACAGGAATCTTAAAAACCATAGTTCAGGTTATCCTCAAAAGAGTATTTATTCTGTTTCTTGCTTAGTGTTGGAGAGTTGCTGAGTCTGATGGTGAGATTACTTAAGCATTATCAAGTAACTAATGAATTCCTGAATTTAAATTGGGAATTCAAGTGCTGTACTGAATTCTTGTTTCACTGTCCAGAATTTATACTACAAAAGATCTTTGCTATATTTATGCATAAAATAGCATACTCTTTCAATGAACTTATTTCTAACTACAAAACATTTACAAATAATAATTGTACACAAAGTCTAAATATTTAAGAAACAAGTGAAGGAAATCACTTCCCTCTTAGCTGTGATAAATTTGCATAAAGAATTTAGGGTGTTCTTATGATTCTAACAGTTCTTATGATGTTGAAATGGAAAGTTATTTTTTCTGTGAAGAGGAGGAACTAGGAAGGCAGGAGAAAGGAGGTTCCTTATTAGACTTTTACAGTCTTTGCAAACCAGGTAGTAAGCAATGCTTCTATTTTACAAACTAAGTTGTAAGCACTGTCTGTCTTGGTTCCTGGAAAAAACAGTATCATCAAGGCCTGTCTTTTCAAGAGTATAGTATTGTTAAGGTATTGAGTAGTAAATAAATAAAACCAAATATAAACTATTCTTCTCAAAATTCCATGTAGGAATGTTCATCATTATTTTTTCTACTTTTATAGAAGTGCAAATTACTGCGTAATGACCTCAGAGATTTTGTAATGTTGTTAATATTGCCATTAGTATTGAAACCTATTATGTAATTTTGTACAAGGTAGAAATGTATTTTAATATTTTGAGGCATTAGGAAACAACCCCTTTTTACATAAACTCACCTGAACTGTTTCTCCATAGAGAAAACATTTCTAGGCTTTTATTTCATTTTTATAAAGAGAAATAATTGTGAGAGTGTGCATTCCCATGGAGAAACTGACTGAAGTCCAGATGCAGGGAAACTTTACCAGGCAAAAAGAATCCACAGCAGGGTGGAAAGAGTAAGGCTTTTGTATACCATCATCCTAGGTATGACTTTCTAGGTCCATGTGTCAGGATTGTTATTAGGCTCAACTTTTCCCTATTGTGTTACGACTGTTGTAAAAAACAGCATGCACTTAGAGTTCCCCTGCAAACTATTCTATTAAACAAATGCCAGTTTTTACACACAAATCATTCCAGGTAGAGTGCCAGAAAAGATCAAGATCTTTCTCTACCACCATGTGACGGATAGCCCTCGCCTGAGAAAAGTTTGGTGACTAAAATAGCAAGGGTGGGGCAAGCCAGGAAGTAGGAATTATTATTTTGAGGGGAAGCACATGCTGTACACTCACCCTATGCCTCTTCTAGCTCAGGATGCTAGTCCCTTGCGTTCAGATGCTGCTAGAACCTTCCATAAAGTTTTCACAAGAAAAATAAATTCAGAGGTACTTATTTTATTTTATGCATTTGATTATTTTAGCAGTGTATTTAAGAAGAAAGTACTTGCTGCTACCAACACACAACTGCATGTGCCAAAACTCAATTCACAAAATTTGAGTCTCTTGATTCAGTGAAAGACACAAAGTATAATCCTCCCAGATGGGAAGTAGTTGTTGCTGTGTGTTCTGCTTGTGAAGAAGGCAGGTGACGTCTCAGTGTGCTCTTCTTGCTTTAAATTATTTCTGGTGTAACCTGGAACTGTGCTGCCTAGAAATGTTATTATTCCAGTAAGTAAATTCTGCTTGCAGTTATATTAGTAATAAATGCTGAATAAATCACCTGATGCCATAGGGGTACTGCAGATTTTTCAGCATTTGATTCTAAATAATTCTTTAATATTTTCTAGGCTATGTTATTTGTTACGCTTAGTGTAAAGGACGTCTACTAAAATTGTTTATTACTGTTGTAATAATTGAGTAATACACCCTGCTTGCTCTTTCTTTTTTTCCCCTTATAGTTTTGCATAAAAACAATGAGAATATTTTCCAGTCAGCTCAGGTGCAAACAAGTGAATGATTGTATGACCTAAACATTGGTCTTACACATATAAACGTGAAATACAAAGGCTACTCAAAGGTCAAGAAACATCAAAGGTTGAAGGCATGGATGTGTCTGCTGCTTGAACCTTGTTCCCGAGTCCACCTAGTAATTTAGATCATAGCAGCTTTAGGCTGACTCAGCCCAGCCTTCAAGGGGCACAATTTTTTCTTAGCGCATATTGAATGACTGCCAGCCTATTGTTCCTGACTATTGTTGTCTGAAAAGACAACATGTACTAAAGATGAGAAACAGGAAATGTTCATTTGTCCTCTTCATGGCAGAAGAAATTTTCCAGATTCCATGTGTTGAGGTAATTGTTCAGAAGAGTATTTTTCTTCAAAATGCGCAAGAGTTAGATCACTGCAACAATGGTGACAGCTAGTCACAAAAATACATCACATGATTGTATATTTTATAAAAGAAAACACTACCCATTTTCATCTGAATGCAGAGGAAGGTATGCTTCTTACAATGTATAAGCTGTGGCATACTTATTTAAATAACATAGTAAGGAATATTATAGAGGTTCTCTTTTGGCTTTTGTTACATGCCAGAATATGTGGCTCTTCTGAGATCCTTACTTTCCAATAACTTCTGTTTCCTTTTGCTTCCAATAACCATGTCTTTGTAGTTTGTTACTTTTCCTCTTTTAACTGGTTCTTGGCAATTTGTGATCTTCCTTCCTACAAAGGGTCTCCTTCACACTTCATTCCACAGCGTGATTGCTTCCCTGCATAAGCTGTTGGTGACGCCGCACACAGAATACGGGATTTTCCATGTATAATCCATGCCAACAGGCTTTGCTTCTGAGGTCAGGTCCTCATCCTAAGGAAATTGTTGTAGTTGGCCTCTTGCAAACACACTCCCTGTCCAGCCCCTGCCCCCCAACCCCCACACCTCCGCCCACCTCTGCAACTCAAAGACCATTAGTGAAGAAACAGGAAAGGAAGTAGATTTGGGAAATAGAAGGTAGTCTCAAATCACCAATAAAAATGACCTCATACTGACTTTCCCTATGCATTTCTCAAACACAGAGCAGAACAAGAGTGCAAGTCCAGCTGCAGGTAGGGCAGGCAACTGCTCCATGCACATTACTTCTGGGGGAAGCATAAAATACATAGTAAACTATTGTGCAAATTAATGGTAAAATGCTTGTGGATTAATATCCTTCACACGTCTTCTAAAACATCTGTCTCCCAGAAGCAGTGATTTCACTTGTGTTGTATTTTTAAAATGAGAAAAAAATATTTTCATTTATCAATGATGTTTTCTGCTAAATGTGTTCTGAAGGTTTTCTCTAACAGTTTATTTCTATTTATCTAAGGTTGAATACCACCCTTTCCAAAGACCTCAGGAGCTGGTGGATTATTGTAGGACCAGAGATATTGTTTTTGAAGGCTACTGTCCTTTAGCCAAAGGCGAAGCACTCACTCATCCTAGTATCATTCAGCTGGCAAAGAAATACGGCAGAACTCCAGCACAGATTTGCATACGCTGGAGTATACAGGTAATGGAGGATCTCCTCTCTCAGGAAAAAATGCAAATAGTTCTGGTTTTGTGCATCAAACCAGAATTTATACAGGAAGTATTTTTGCGTTCAGTATGTTCATATTGTGTGAACTAACTGTGCTGTACTGGAAATTTGGAATGTAGTACGCAAAGCATGGCAGTATTTTAAATATGCAAATAATCTAATTGTAGAGAATAAAAAGAACGACCAATAAAAGAGAGATTTTCAATCTAAATGTTACAAGCAGTATGGGGCATCATTTCATTTCTATCACTCAACACGAAGTACTAAGCAGTGAAATAGTATTAAATTGACATAAACCACATAATCTGTGTTGGAACTATAACAGCAATTAAAAATAGCATATAGACATGTCAGTGCTCTCTGAAAAATTAAATTAAAACCTCAGAATACATAAGGAATGTCTTGAAATATTTTCAAGAGAGATTATTTTCTTTGAAACTATGTAAATTTTAATGGTGAGAAGCATTATGTTTTTCAGAATGGGATTGTCACTATTCCAAAGTCCACAAAAGCAGAAAGGATACAGGAAAACTGCAAGGTAAGATTTGGTTATGCACTCAAGTCTGACTCACATCAGAATTACGGCTTTCAATACTTTGGTTTGCCTGCCCATGTTCCTGTACCAGTTTTATTATATTGGGGCAACTCAGTTAAAATTTGCAAATTATAGTACCATAAAATTACTACCATATAGTCGAAAACAATAACTCATAAATGTCAGAAATCAACTGGAGAGTTAATCACTGTATATTAAAAAAAAAAGATATCCATAGACTTGTCATAGTTGATTTTTATTATTAATATTTTTATTTATAGTTGACTGATTGTAGAACTTCCGAATCCGGTTATGGTTAGGTCCTTCTTGTGATAGACACGTAGGTCAAATGGAAGGAGTGTGTTATGCTATGCATAACACTGTGTGAAAGCTGTAAGACTCCCTTGGAGATATCCCAGACAGAGACCTTCCAAGGAAATCACAGTCCTGCCAGAGCTGACTCTTCCCCTACCTTTTTCCTTCTACCTGACGTGCAGAGAAGGTCTCAGCATGAAGGGAATGGACAAAGAAAAGTGGGGAACGAATGAGGATTGCCAACATGATTCCTCCTACCCTTTTTTTTCCTTTTCTTACCAAATGCTTTTAATTCATTACTTCATTTTTCTCTCCATTTCTCTAATCTGAAAGTGTGCTTTCTTTGAGGGAGGTGAAACCACAACCACCTTATTGTCACTTCCAAAAATATCACAGGGGTATGAACTGTTTGGCAAATCAGGAAGAAACTTTGCAAGATAGGAAACTTCTGTCTGCTAGTTAAATCACAGTGTGCGTGTGTGTAGATTTAAATCAACGTACATGTAATAAGGATTTCTCCTGGTGACTACGCCTGTTTATATAGCTCCTGCCTTGACTGTTCTGACACGCACACTGCCTTCTGTGCTATAAGCATAGCTGTTTGTGGTACTGAATTGTGAACCAGATCAGAGAACAAAACCAGGTTAAAAATCCTTCCTTATTCTTTTTATTTGAGTTTATTTTACTTTCCCCAATGATATTTTAAATCCAGATTACTTCTATTTTTTACAGAGTTTACTCTATGGTCTCACCGATTCATTTCACACAACTGAGGGAATGCATTGCAGCAAAACTTAAAACACTTAGAATGGAGAGGAGGAAGGGAGAACTGGCACAGTTACCGGATGTTGTTTATCACATCTCCCTTTTCTTTTTTTCTTTCCCCCATGCTTGTGTGTTGGCCTTAGTCTCTACCACCTCTAGTGAAATTGGTGAAAGCATGGACCTTATTAAGTCCTCAGTATATAATACATAGTATTTCTAGTTCCGTGACGGGTCCTTGGTTTAGGTTTAAAAAGCTTGAGCACTGAGATTTGACTACAAGGGTCATTCCAGCAGACAGTGATTGCTGGATCATGCAGGATGAGAAGACCTCATTTGGCAGCAGTTCAGGCTCCACAGGATCTTTTCATGAAGTATGGAGGAGCTCTGACAAAGACAACAGACCAACTTAAAGCAACTTCAGTTCTGAAGTGATAATGTCTGAATAAGACACCTGCTAGGAACACACTAACACCATCATTCATGGTGCGGGTCTCACCACAGGAGAAGTCAGTGGCTACTGTAAGAACCTATGCGTGAAGACAGGTGGCTGTTTTCAAGGTTGAGTTAGTACTGAGGCACTATAGCACTGTATTAGCTATTTCTGTGTTAGCTGATCCATGAGTGTTTTGTCTTAAGTACACATAGAAAAGATAGATAATAGCCTTTGGTTTGCTAGCCTTGTAAATGTCCTGATACCTTCTGATAATTCTCTTTGGCATAAGTTCCAAGGAAAAGAACTGTAAGACTGTAAACCAAACATTGGGATAAAAGTGAAATACTAAGCTCAGGTTTCCAGAGGGATTGCAGTCAGGGTATTCACATACCTCTGGCAGTGACCAGAGTGCTGTCAAAACAAGCTTTGATACTACCGTTGTCTTGGACCCTTACCTGAGGCCAGAGTGCTACACAACCGTCTTAACAGAGTCTGCAAATAAAAAAGAATCACAAAAGGAGCAAAGGACCCAGAGAAACCTGTCAGCTTAATAGAATATTGGTATATATCAAAATATAAGAAGAATTTCCAGAAGGAAAAATATAGAAAAATTCTGCCTCACATTTAAATGAATCTTGGTCAGTTTAAAGAAGAGAAACACTCTTGATTCTCTCTGTGATGTTAACTATATATGCATTCCCATAGGTCTTTGATTTTACAATAGCAGAAGATGATACTGAAATTCTGAATGGAATGCATGATGGGCGACATGTGTCCTGGGACCCAAGCCTTATTGTGTGAATGAAGGTTTGAGCTTTTTCCTTTGTCTGTCAGTCATCAGTGAGTCACACCATGTAATCTAAATTTAGGGAAGGTTACAATTAGAATATAATTGTAAAATTAATGTCTGCTATTAACTGATTTGAAATCCTTGACATTGATAACAGATAAAAGATATTTTTGAGGGTAGCACTTTTGTACAGAGAGCTTACATTTCTGTCTCAAATCCTGATCCGTAGTTCGTTGCGCAAAGCCTCCTATTTATGCTGCTGACCCTGCATCATGCATCAGGCCATTTAATCAAAGAGTACAGAGAGATATGTCTTCTTTTAAAATGCCACCTACACAGGTGTTAAGTGTGAAATAATTTTTCAAGTACTTTTAGAGGGATATAATGTGTGAAGAAAATCTCCATTAAAAATATAATCTCACTTTAACAAGCAATATCTGAGCATTACCCAAAAAAGTTTTATGCATATTATTGCATAATAATGGCATTGACCCAGAGAGTTCTATGCATATGATTTACTAGCCTGTAGGTATAACAAAGTAGAAATCTTTCCAGAGAAGTCCATGTACAAATAAACTATCTGCATGGCTAAGAGTTCAGCAGTGAGCTCTAAGACCTGAAGAGGCATCTTCGTTATTACTCATCTTTTTCTCTTAGTGGCAATTCTGGTGAGTTTTGTGTAGCTTTTAGTGAGAATTAGTTTAGCTTTCATTTTGGATTTGTCCAGGAAATCTCATTAAGAGACTATACTGTTCTTCAGACTTTCTTAGAAAATATGTATGTATATGGATAGATGTAGATATATGTAGTTTACAGGTCTGTTTTGAGAAATATGTCTGCAGAGTCTTTTATCGGCTGAGTATTCAACTTCTAGTCCCATTGGTGTGATATTTTAGGAGTTCCTGTGTCTAGAAAGGTATGGAAAATCTGACTATGATTTATATTGTGTGTGTACTTCCTGAAGCAGTTTTCCCAGTGCTGTTCTGCTTTAGTCATATCGTGAAACAAAGCTCCTTAGTTTTTTATCAGAAAGTGACTTACAGCAATCATACATTCTAGCCTGCCTTGTTTGTCCTCAAAGTAGAGCTTCTATACAGCCTGGCTAAAATACAGACAAACTTAGCTTTTTGATAACAGGACCTCAGAATAATTGGCTGGTTTTTCCTGGTAAACATTTCCACAAAAAATTTGTCTAGATTTGCCTCTGGACTCATTAATGTTTTATTTATTATTTAAAAATACAACATATTGTATTGCTGTGCTTACTAATACTTGTACAATGTACTGTTCCAAGACAGATCCACAATAAAGGTATTTTCTAGAATTTCAAGTGTGACCTGCAGTTTGGGGTGCTTCAGTATCTGGGAATGCCACTTCAGGTGTCTAAGAACAGCTACGCACCTGGCTTAACTGTTGTGATGAAGGGTTCAATAGTTCTAAAAAGTAAGGCTTATTTATAAAATTAAGGTAATTTCTAGGCTTCTTTTTTTTTTTTTTTTTTTTTTTTTTAGCTTTTGCAGAAAATTATGGCAATGACTAAGTCAAAATTGGAAAGATTGTCCAGAAATAAACCTTTCTACCAGTGGTCATCAGCTAATCCTGCTTTTGAAAAGTCACTTTGTAGAACAATACCTTAGCAATATGAAAAATACCTCTTACTCTCCTGTTGAGGGACTCCTTGCTTCACAGTGTATCTGAAGTCATAAAACAAGGACTAGAAGTGAATTGTGTGCCTCTGTGGCTTTTTAGCAGTGAAGACTTTCTCAGAAACGGATCAGATCAACATACTATTTCCAACACAAATTATGCATACAAAGTGAACTAAATCTATGTGTGCTAGCAAATTCTAGCTTCAGTATTAGCAGAACAGTAGCAGTTAGGACCAGTTACATGGCTAGAAGTCCCATGTTGGTCAGAACAGCTTGGGGGGGGGCAGGGGAGGGGGTGTTCTGTGCTTATTTCTGACTGATTACCTTCCTGTTCTGAGCTAAACAGAACTAAACCAGATTTTATTGCTAATCCCTAACATAGATGACTTCAGACTACAGTGAGGATGCCTTCCTAATTCATTGATATATTTCATTGTTCCCTCTGTCAGAGATTTTACAATGGTTTTTATGTCTGCATATGCTTTTGCTAGGAAGCCAAGCCACCATTTTCTGTGATCTAGATCATGGTATCCAAGCAGTATAATAAGTAATGAAAGGAATAATCAGATAGAAATAGTATAACTAAAAAACCATTCTTCTTAAGGAGCAGTTGTGGCAAGTTACATTTTTAATCTGATACTTTCCTAACTACCTTCAGACTTCATTATTGTTGATTCAGGACTTTTTTCTGTGGTGGTTTTTGGTTGGGGTTTGGGTTTTTTTAGGTTTGGCTTTTGTTGTTGTTGGATTGTTTTGTAATCTTTCCTAGTGATTCCTTTGCTACCAGGTAGGGCTTTAGAACTACATAAGAGTTTAATTTTCACTATGTACAAAGCTGAGTGAGGCAATATAAGCTTTTTAAGTTCCAGGACTCAGCTGAGCCTTGCTATTTTTCTCCCAGGTGTGGTGTGCAGTTTTGCACATTGTGCCATCACTAATAGCCATTGTTTCCTGCCAGAAGCTGTAATTGCCCCAAGAGGCAGGAACCCTGTTATTGCCTCTGTGGTTGGCATGTATCACTGGAGCCTCTTCCTTTGAATATGGCATTCACAAGTTTTATACTATGCTAGTTAATTTAGAATCATTGAGCAAATCCTCATTTACTTTTGATCAGGTTGCAGAGGGAAAGATGTACTCAGTGGATTCATATTTTATGCTCCTCTCTGCAACTAAATTGACATTACAGATGTAGATAGTTTTTTTTTTTTAAGCAAAGGTTGCTGAAGAGTAAGTCCACATCACCTCATCTAAATGAACATTTCTAAAGTACCGACAACTTTGATCACAGTATAAAGAAAGATGACAACTAATAAGAAATTGAAAAGTGAACAGTAGTGAGATTTAGGGGTAGCAGTGAGGAGTGGTGTACTGTGATAGATGCAGAACCTGGAAGACCAAAAGGATATAAAAGTGCTGAACATACAAAATCAGGAAGTTTAACTCCATGTTTTATTTCATCTTTGGTCAGTTAGCCTGGAGGTGCTCATTTTTTAAGGTTTTTTTCTGTGGGGGTTGTTTGTTTGTTGTTTGGTTTTGGTTTGGTTTTTTAAACTCAGAATTCATCCCTCAAGTGAGTTCTTGGAATAATATGCGTATTCTTCCCCAGGGCTGAAATTCCTCCTCTTGTCTATATTTCTGTAAGACAAACTTTCTCTAGAGAGAAAACTTTCCGCTTTCTACAATGACCTTTGTTAAGATACAGCAATGCATCCATTTTACCAGTGTAACCCATCATCTTGCCAACAGGAACAGGGAATACACCTGAAAATTGAAGGCACTTTTTCCTCCATGTTATGTGGGTCATTTATGGTAGTGACTGATTGGGGCACTCCTTTCTAGTTGAGATAAACCATTATTTAAAATAAGATACAATTTATCAGTGTTATCCACTGAAGTGCAATCAGCTGCCTTTACAGGAGCACTGTGGCTCTTAATGGAAGGGAACTCTCTGGAAACAAATAAGGAAAGGAAAAAAATAATCTGAAAGTCAGTGGCAAGGGTGAGGCCTTTTTTTGTGCAGCCAAGTAGCTTCCTGTCTGACTCTGGCTCCGTCTCTCCTTTTTCTTGCCTGTTTCTGAATTTCATCTTTTATATTACTGGACACGAAGGCACCTAAGGATGTTTCATTGGAAAATAACGGGAAGGTTTTGTGAAGTGCATACTTCTGGAAATTTTTTTTTTCAATCAGGCTGCAGAAGTGTTTCTACCACACCTGACCCCCAGCATAACTTACAATACATTTTTGTGACTAGCATGTGTAATAAAGCAACTGTAACGCTAGTAAGTTCACAAATGCACTAAGCCAAGCAGACTGCATAATTTTTTTTTCACTGTGGTTAACAGCAGATTCTTTTTTTAGTTCAGCAGTGCTGAACTTTTCTGATGAGAAAGCTGACGTTAACCCCATGTTTTTGAAAATGGGGACAAAGGTGGAGTAGCTCTTGCTGACACTAATTGAATCCAAGCAGTTAACTCTTTCCACAGTGCCACACCCCTTCCAAAGCTTTGAAGCTTATCTCTGACTGTAGTGCATTGGGGAAAAATAACAGATAAGCCAACGTTCTGGCAATTTTTCATGTCGCTGTGCTGGGAGTCTTTTTCTGTACTTAATCTTTTGGCACTTTTTGCAGCCTCCATTAAGATGTCTGTGCTTCTGAAAGAAAATATCAACATTTTGCACTGCCTTGTAGTGTATCTTGTAGTGATGCAGCCTTACTATTTGTCTTTATGAATGGCTGCTTATCCATCTGCAGCATCACCTAGGACTAATTAAAAGTGCCAGGACATTACAGAATAGCAATGACTTCTAAGGGACCAGAGCATGAGTACTACCTCCAAAACTTGCTACTACCCATTGAAAAGAAAAAAAAAATAAAAGGAGCACAAAGCCAAAAATTAATTTAAATCAATTATGCTGATACTTATTCCCAGTGACGTAAGACCTATCACTCTCTAAGCCATATCACTGTGTAAGCCATTGAACCATTGTAGGCATAGTCGACATTATGGGATGTGCTTCTCTAAGCAACTTTGCACAGATCCATTGTACTAATCTCGATTGCTGTGCCCAAGAGGAATGTTTAATAGTGGCTTTGCTGGCCAGTGCCCTTTGAGAACCACTCTGTAGCTGAACTACTAATAGGAAATTCAAGAGTATGTTAGCAGCATTACCATCTTATTAATGATTGCTATGTTATTTTCTCCAGCAAAATAGATTTCCAGGACTTTCTAGATGAGGCTTTAAAATTCCAGTATAATGAACTAGTGCTAAGTTCATAACTTGGCTGTGAAATTTGGGGGGATGTTGGGGGGTGTACGATTACTTTCAGTTTCATGGTAATGAAGAGAGCAGAGATTGTTGG